TGGTGTCACCACGGGTGTGGAGGGTGGGTAGGTGAGAGGAGGTGGATAGACGAGTAGTTGTGCTGCTCTGGAGGGGACATTGTCGGAGACTTGAGAACCCTGACGTGGGTAGGTGTACGGCAATGGATCCATGTGGAGTGACGACCAAGTGGCGGAAAACGCCGCGACACAAAAGCGTGCGTGCGTGCATGTGGGTGTGGGGTTCTTGTAAGCGATGTGATTGGACGAAGTCATTTCTTGTCAGTGGAGTAGCAATACGCCTCCTAAATTATTCTATTTGCTGGATTACTTCCAATCAAAATGAGGCACTCCTTTTAATGCAGACGGAATATGGTAGGAGGAGTCTTATCGTCAAGGAAAGGGAAAAAGTTGAAAATGTTTACTTGCTGCTTCCACCTCCTTCCCTATGTGCCTGTGATTTCGCATCCATCTAGTCTTTGGCGCATGTACTTGTCTGAGTTGGGTTACATGTATGGATGAGAAGGCAGAATCTGACTCCACTCTTCCCTCCTTCGCAACCGTCAAATTGAGTTCTCAAATGAGAATATTTCACCGTGGTGTGATTTCCTAGAGTACTTGGATAGAAAAGGGATGCAGCATTCTTCTGACCGATTTGCTGACCCCGGCACACATAAATGCTTCTAAGGACTTCCTATTTTGGCACAAATATTAAAAGATTTGCTTTAGACAAATCATCTTGTAGGCAAACAAATCTGGGTGAATGATTAAATGTGTCCGGTTTACCATGCATACTCAGGCACAAACACCAGGAAGGGGACATAAATGGCAATCATTTGGAGTTGAAGTGGTGAGTGATTTAAGTATTTGGGAAGAAGAATTGGAGAGTCATTCAGTGATAACCATGATGTCAAAGGACAAAAGCACGTCTCGCCATACGTCATCCAGCCAGTAGGCAATGTTTTGGCCGTTCCAGTTGCAGGTGCACTTGAATTGGTGTGATATTCTGTAATCGTAGATGCCTGGGGTAATACAGAAAACTTTGCGGTCCTTTACTTAGCTTGACCAAAGTCACTTCTACCACTACGAAGCTGCCTTCACATTATTCCTGTTCACCAGAAATCATAATGCGGAAGTGCACTTTGTACTTCCCTTTTGCTCTGAAACGGAAGCATGACGGTCTGAAAAAATACAGTAAACTATTTTCCTCCTGTCAATGGCTGGGAGTTAGGAGTTAGTGGGTACGTTTCCGTTCCTCATTATCTCTAATTATTTATCAGGTAGACTGCCACCTCTTAAGCGACACTGACAGAGATCAGGGTAAGGGCAGATTTTAGCACTCACACTTAACTTCGAGGTCGTCTGTAAAGCCCTTTGTCATGATTTGAGGTCCCTCCTTGACCCCTGTCTATGTTGTTCGCTAAGCGTCGGGAAGTAGTGGAATCCCCCAATCTACTCAACGAGGACTGCATGCAAGGTCTAATTCCATTCTTCGATTATGACGCAAGATGAGTTTGTGTTTTCGGCTAAAAAAGAGAGAAAAACTAATTGTAAACAAAGTCCTGCCTGATCGATTTGAGGGTTTGGTCCATTTTTGTTTTACGATCCTCCTTCCTCCGCAGATACCACTGATTGACTAGACTGTGAGGACTGCCAGTCTGTGAGACGTAAGCTCTGCACGGGGCATCATTAGGCAGGGCAAATAACCATTCCTCTCATTCTTCTATCTTTACATTTTTAAGGGATAAAGGGAAGGAAGCAACCTCCTGTCTAATTTCACGCTAGACAATTTTTCCGGTTAAAGAGAAGGCTATTTGCAAGGAAAACCTTTTGAGTTTGTCACTTCAGTGTAGTTTTGGATGTGAGGCACTTTACACCCCTTAACTGGCCCAATTTTTCACGTAAAGTAATCCTGTTCCTTCCCTCCGTCCCCAATGCCTTCCAACCTGAGGGAAGAGGTGACACAAAATCTAACCTGAGTGTTACGTGACCTCTTACTACGTCGTCTGAGGCCCTTCTTCTGTGCATGATACAGTGTATAGAGGCCGGGCATGGACTTTGACTTCCTCCGAAGTGTGCTGCAACTCTGTCAAGCGACTTCAACTACGCCTTGATTTTTGTACTTTCACCATATTTCATGTTGTCCGTAGGCGGAGTGGTGGTTCAGCCTTGGTAAAGTGCTGCGACAGGCTGCAAAGCCTTCTGCTGAACTTCAACGTGTGTGAGGCACCTTCATGTGCATTCTACATACAATGAAAAATTTCATGTAGTGGCTGAATTCGTTGGACGCAACTAAGAATCAATTTGATAGTGCTTGAACGCACAACTTATCTTTCCACACTGCCGTGCACAAAGGAAAGTTTTCAAACAA